AAAATGAAAATCAATGAAAACTTGTGAAACATACATCGTTCAACTCAGTTTTCGACGCTGATTCTGAATATAATGTTTTAATTATATACAAGTTGAGTTCTGATGAAGAAAACAGTGAATTAAGGGCAGAATGTTTACTTTTTCGCTCCTAATTTAGAAAAAATGAATTTTCTCAGTAGGAAAGTAAAATGGAGGAAAAGGCGATGCATACTATTAAAGATCGCACAATAGCAGTTCTAATGAAGTAAAAAGGTCGGCTTCATCTCTTCACAAAAAAACCTAGATAGATCTACAAAAGAAACATGTACCATTTTTGATGATCTGATCACTGAAGGCATGCTCATCGAATTTTGAGTTTACGATGTATGTTTCACAAGTTTTCATTGATTTTCATTTTTCAGTAAAAGTCTTCGTAATTTTTCGATGCGAAATTAAGTTACTTGTAGAGTTTAATTTTAAATAACACCACAAACTGCATTCACTCCAGGGTCACTCCGGATCACTCCGCTACTCCGTCCATTCCGGTTAAACTCCGCGGGGTGCCGGAGTTAGCGGAGTACAGTGTTTCCCCCTTGAGCAGAATAGAGCGAAGAAAATGCTAGAAAAGATAGAGAAAGAATATCATTCCACACACAAAGTAACAGCGAAAAATAACATTTACAAAAGGTGACTTATGTAAACCACAAGAAAGTCAAAAATAAAATAACGATCAGACATAGAGGTTTTAGTTCTAACTTGTAAATATCTGCTAGGTTTTTTCGCGTGAGCGCCTAAAACTGTTCATTTATTTTTAAAAGAAAAGTCAGGAGGCCGAAAACAGTTCCACTCGACACATTGAACAATTCTTTTACAAGTGTTCATGATACCCTCTACTTTCGTATTCTTTAGAGATAGTCTAAGAGAGTACTGGTCGGGATATCAAACATCATTCATAGTACCCGGTAACATAGTCAAAAACTAAAACGGCTTTTTATGATCAATTTTATACAAAACCATGTTGAAATAGAACAGTTTTAACGCAGTTTATACAGTGCTCAATTGTCTACAAAGTGCGTGTCTTTACATTGGAATGACACACAAGAACAAGTCCAAAAATGAGCTACAGTATTAATATCATCAGAACTGGTTATCGAATTCTAAGACTGATACTAACATGTGTAAGGTTAGAAATATTGATCAAAAACAGCGTGTAAATTAAGGAAACGTGAAAGCTAAGTGTAAAATATGCTATTTATACTTAATTTTACACAAAGAATCGAATAGAATTGGTTCGGTCAAAGAGTCCATCGAAAACTGGGACGAAGAGACTCTTGACCGAATTTTTTCAAAGAAAACTTTTTCTTCAAAACATATCGAATTGAGAGCTATCTGGAGGACACATCATCCGATGCAGTTTCATATGGAAGTCACAAATCTGAGATGTATTTTGAATAAAAAACAAGAACATAGCATTCGTGTGATAAAAATCAGATTGACGAAGCAATATGCGAATAACAACCAATAATCCGTTAAACCAATTGCACATTTACACATACATTCTTCAGCATAGAAAACGTCACTTTGTTAACTTTTATTTTTGAGCAGATATCCAGAATGCTGCATGATCAATCACATCAGTTAAAAGATAGTATTTTCCCATATTCTTGTAGGATAATCAATAAATTTTCTATTGCTATATAGAACATTTCGACAAGACTATTAAAGTGGTCAAAAAGCTAAAATACGCTATATCAATATGTTATTTTTTCACATACAACTAAAATCTTGTTTTTCATACCTAAATAGATGTCCAGTGAACATCTGAATGATTGTATTGTTTTACATATTAATAACTTTCATTTGCTGTACAACACAATTCGGAGCGAAGCTGAACAAGGAGGAAAATGTCAAAATATGAGATACTGCATAGGGAAGCCATCCAAAATAAGCCTGCGCGTAGATGTAGACGTAAACTATAGTCAGCGTGTAGATATAGATGAATATCGTTCTCTTTTATTTTTCTTTCGCTGGTTTTGCTGAATGAAAGAAACCGGATATAGATCTACCTAAGGAATGTTTTTGATACCAAAAATGTTTCCTTTTAAGGCATCATCCGGAAATCGCCGTCGCCGCGGATTCTTATATGTTAAAGTGTTAAAGTGTTAAAGTGTAAAAAGATAAACGTGCATAACTGAGGGTGAAGTCGTGAGGATGAGGGTGGAGCACTTCTTCACCCACTTCACTCTCACCTCTCCACCCTCACCCTCACTCGCCGCGAGTTCGTATATGTTAAAGTGTTAAAGTGTTAACGCTAAAGTGTTAACACTTTAACACCGAATCCGCGGCGACGGCGATTTCCGGATGTTATGCCTTTTAACATGTTAACCATTTTTTAATGCATTTAATAGCATGAAATATTAATAAGTTTACATGCATTAATTGATTTTAAAAAGGTTTCTAGTGCATGTCACATGCGTTAAATTTTGTATACCAAAAGTTAACAAAAAAGTTCACATCTACTAAAAAATCATTAATGCTTCTAAATCCTTTATAGTATGTCTGATTGACTAGAAAGGGTCATCCTATAAAGCGGACAAGGTAACCCAGATGTTATCGAACATAAACAGATGATCGACGACCAGCATTATAGATATTCTTCGTTCAAGAGAGTATGGCAATATTAGGCTACCCGAGGCAGAAAAAAGTAAGCAAGGAAATCTAGCTTATCAAATAACTCAAGCGCCCGCTTAATCCTAGATTTCTTGGGTCAAATAGCTAGCTGCGCCGAGCCTACTTGCCAGCTGCAAGCGATCGATCCAGTGGGCGCTTAATCGAGCGATTAGCGTCCAATTCAAACACATCAGCTAGCTTTTAGGAGTTAAAAATTGGTTTAGGTGGCTACAAGCGCCCGCTTCACGATTTTTTTTTCTGCCTGGGACTAATTAGGGGTGTCCGCCGAAACTATGTGAGAACAACCGTATTTAATGAAACTTTATTATAAACCTAATGATTACTTAACATGAACACATGGCGAATATACTGACCAAAGTACAATGTTATCACACATGTGTTAGAGAAATGTAAAAAGAGCTACATTTCTATAGTAAGTTGGATCACGCAAAAATCTCTAAAGATTATCTAATTGGTGAAAGTAGAATTGATTTTTCTCTAAGCAGTTTGTATCTATACACCTCAAAGTTGCATGCAGATACAAGCAGACATGAACTGTATATGCTGCTACAATTAAAATGATCGGCAATGGCTTTGAAGAAAACCATAAATTATACTTTCAAGCATATTACACCATTTCTACTCATTTTTATATGTTTTAACTTAACTTACTTCGAAATGTAACACACTCCATTTTTATCGAATACAAAGTACAAAGACCTTGTAATTTGATTCGTATATCCAGAACATGTGTTCGCTTCTATGCACACAGTTTCATTGAAAAATAAGTAAATATTAAGTTTACAACTAAAGTTTCACTAACAAAACACAGTTTTCACATGGTTCCTAATTATGTCGAACTCCAGGTCTCAGTCGATTATTAGACCTACAACTTCAGAATGGCTGCATTTTCCTAAGAAAAAAATCTGTTATCCCATGGAAGCAAGTACAATGAACAACTTTCCATTGACACTATCCTTCCAGAATGCTTCATTGGCGCGATATGTAAGAATTATTTTTTCACACCTTCTCAAAATAACTAAGAAAATTGACTTTTCGTAATTTTCAAAAATTCCACTACTCCAAAACATAGGCTTAGCTGTAGCAATGACTATCAGATTCATAATCCGTGTCATGGATTACCTATACTATCGTGACTTTTATTCAAAAAGAGACTGAAAACTTAAAGAAGTTCCCTCGTGAGAAAAGTAAAATACATAAAAAAAAAGGTTACTAAAATTACTCGAATAGAATGCGCGATATTATTGATTTACGTCTTAATGCTCATAAGTGCTATTCACTAATATTTATATTACCAGTATATATATATATGCAAATAGTCTAACAAATACAATCAAATGGAGACAGTAGACCAGGAATTTCATTAATCAAAAATGAAAATCAATATATGTTCACAAATTAAAATGATAATCAATGCTATTAATAAAAGTAATAATAATGCTAATATAATTTTGATATTTATTTGTAGTTTTGAATGTTAACAAAATCAAATTAATGAACTTCCATCATCACTACTTGGAAAAGTATGTTTATCTGTTATTACTGAGCAGTCTTTATTGTTGTCATTTTCAGAAGAAGAGATAGCTTGTTGATATGCTTGTTTAAATCCATCTTGACTTCTTTCAATCATACCTTCATTTGCAGTTAAACATATACGAAAATATCCAGGTATACAACATACTGAGCCTGGTAAACACAAAACATTATATTTAGATAATAGACGACAAAATGCTTGATCATCTTCTAAAGGTGACTTAACAAGTATATAAAATGTTCCTTGTGGTTTTGGTATTTTATATCCTATTGATAATAATATATCTAACATCATATTTAATTTCTTTTCCAGACGTTCTATATCAATACTAATGGATAATGTTTCAATATCTTGTATCATATATTGTGTTACACAATCAGGTACCATATATCCATTCGTTACCACTGTGTGAGGTAAATATGTACGAAATAACGAACGATAATTTAAAGGTATTTGATTTGATAATGCTACATATCCCAGTCGAATACCGGGATTTAGTAATGTTTTAGCATAAGTATAACATATAAATGTATATGGATAGACTAAAGCAGGAGAAATAAATTCATTATTATTAAATAGAATACGACTATATGCTTCATCAGATATTAACCATATAGGCTGAGCATCGTGACCATATTTTTGTTGACGTTTATTATATTCATCTAATAACATATCTGACAATAATTGTAATGTAGATAATGAATAAATTTTACCTGATGGATTATGAGGTGAATTAATGATAAGTATTTTTGTTTTATCATTTATTTTACTTTTTATATCATCTATATTTAAATCATAGGTATTGATATTTATGTTAACCTCAATAGATATTGCTTGACATGCTATAATCATTGATTGATAAAAAAACCATGATGGAATAGGAAATATGACTTCATCGTCTTTATTTAACAACATAGATAGACATGTATAAAGTCCACCAAAGTTTCCTGTGACTAAATAAATATCTTCATATTCAAATGATAAAGGTGATAGTTTTTTCGATAAATTTGATGCAATAATTTTACGAGAAGGTTGTGAATTAAAATTCGTTGTATTACAATAAGCATACCAATCAGTATTTAATGGTTCTACATATTTATGATATGACGATAAAAATGCAGGTAATGCCGTATCACGTGGATTACCATATACAAAATCACATAGACCAGATGATGATGATGGTATTGCTTCTCTATGTGCAGATTTAACTTTCGAATACTCATTAGTAGCAAATGATATAGCTCTTTGGGTATGAGGTGAATTTATTGCCGATAATATTCGATGAGATAATATTGATGATGGTACCATTGCGCTAATTTGGTCGGTATTCTTGATATTACTAGAGATCGTTTTTAATGCAGCAACTAAAGAAACAACAAAAAGACATAATTGATATTTATATTTATAATTACTTCCTTCAAGTAAATACTGCTCTTTATATTGCTCTCTTTATACTACTCTTTATCTTTATTTCGCATATAAGACATTAATGTTACATTTGGATATGGATATGTGGCATACAGAAAAAGAAAAAGAAGACTTACATGCTAGAATTCTAATAAAGGAAGCATAATCTGCTTGCGACATCAAGAAAAAGATAAAGATAAGCTAAACGGTAGAGCTCTAATGTATGTAAGGAGTGTTCTTCAGCGCACACAGTATACACAGCCGGGAAAGAAAAAAACAGAAAAAAGATGGCATGCGTCCTTTATGTATTGTTCTTTTCTGTTCTGGCGCAGCTAATAAAAGAAACATTTTAAATGTAAAATGTATCTTTTTTGACCAAAGTTTTAACATTTACATTGTTGGGTTCAATATTTAACGACAAACTGCATTCTTCCAGTTTTATTCTCAAACTATTTGAGGGCAATTTCTGTCTCCCACGTTTTCTTCAACGAGAAAAAAAAACTCAAATTGATAAGAAAGATAATAACCAATAGATGTGTATAAAAGAAAATTGTGTTTTTTGACTTCTATGGCTATCTCTCAAAAAAATTTACACCTCTCCTGCTTTTCCCCCGCCACGGCACTGCATACGGTATTTGGTTTATCAAATAACTATTAACCTACTGTTGAAAACATTCCTAAAAACGAGCTTGACTCCGGCTTGGTTCACAAACAGAAAAGTAAAGCTTTTTTTCTTCGATCAGTAATATTTGTTTAGACACATGTACTCAGATAACATACAGTAATGTAACATAGACTCTTTCTCTTTTATATTTCCCTACATAAATATTTTTTGTTTTCTTAAAAGAACAGAACAATGTACTTTTGTAATGTTCTTCTCTACCGCACAGTGGACATTTTTTGCTTGAGCAGGCGGACTTTAGCTTTATGAGCGAAATAAAATTTCATGAACCATTTTTTTATAGGTTTTTCATGATCCTCTTTCGAATGGCATGAGAGTTAGCTTTTG